AATTAGCATTTATCCCAAGTTACTGAGCGTAATTCCAAGGGACCAACTGGATTATGAAACAAGCCCATCAAAAATTTTGCTCTTCTTTTTCCCTGCAGTCCAGCAAATGGAGGCTCATATAAGCTATAAAGAAGTGAAGAAACTGTATTTCCTTGCACATTTGAGTAAAGTGAGAGTAAATGAGTAGCCCTGAGATACATATTTCAAAATCCTTCTTAACCTCTCACATTTCCGCTGCTGTGGAAAAACCACACAGCCGCGTAGTTAGTCCAATCTCTTGGGTCCACAGTGCTGTGGTTACATGTCCTTGGTCTTCTTCTATCGTTCCCCTCAGGTGCTATTCCAAACTCTCTGTTCCCTTGTTGAGCCTGTTGCATCCCTGTCTCGAGTCTCAGCAGATGGCTGATCACTTCACAGTAAAAGTGTAAGCTTTATGAAGCTTGGAAAGAAACCTCTTAGGTGCCAATGGAACTCCATGAGACAAGTGTACTATCTCTCCATCCATCCATCCATCCATCCATCCATCCATCCATCCATCTTCATCCCTTTTCTACTCAGTCTGCCATCTTAGAGTTATTAAAAATTGCTTTTTAAAATAACTGACTTAGTTTGCTTCAACATCCTAGAACTCTACTCAAGAAGAGGTTCTTTTGAGGCCTGTTTTAGGAGGCAGATAACTGGCTCTGAGGTCACACAGCTCCCTCTCCCCCCTTTTTCTGAGGGCCTTAAAGAGTATTGGCAAGACTCAGTCTGTGATACTGTGATATAATAAGAAATATAAATTTTGGTCTTCATCCCCAGCTCCTGTCCAGAGCTCCTAAAACCATTGTAATTTCCTAAGTGATAAGAGTGATAGGGGCATCATTTTTTATAATATTTGGTTTTTGACCCTGGCTCTTGAAGTAGCTTTTGGGTGGTAATGGTAAAAGGAGCATCATTTGTTATTCATAACAAGCCCCTTTCAACCACATCTGAGTTTATGTTAATAAATTGACTTTTGGAAAATCCCTAAGCATAGGGGGAGGGGAGGGGGGGCAGTTGTCAGCAGAACCAAACCAACCATGTGATTAGAGGATTGGAACTTCCAGCTTTACTCTTGGACCTCCTGGGACAGGAGGGACCTGGAGGTTGAGTTAATCACCAAAGGCCAATGATTAAATCAGCCATGCCTGTGTAATAAAGCCTTGATAAAAACCGAAACTGGGGCCGGCTGAGTGGCGCGTTGGTTAAGAGCTGGCTTGGGATACCAGCTCTGACCAGCAGCGCCCTGGTTCGGATCTCACATGGGGGCCAGTGACACTGCCCTCTACAGCTAAGATGCTGAACAACAGCTCCACCTGGAGCTGGCAGCGGTGTAGGCTGCAGCCCCTGCTGCAGTGGGCTGCCATAAGCTACCGTGTGTGGCTGGCAGCCAGCATGAGCAGCTGGCAGCTGGTGTCAGCAGCCAAGAGCTGCTGTGAGTGGCCATCCAGAGGCCGGCGACC